AGGAGGAAGAGGAGGATAAGGAGGAGGAGGAGAAGGAGGAGGAGGAGAAGGAGAAGGAGGAGGAAGAGGAGGATAAGGAGGAGGAGGAGGAGGAGGAGGATAAGGAGATGGAGGAGGAGGAGGATAAGGAGATGGAGGAGGAGGAGGAGGAGGACGATTAGAAATACAACATATTCGGTCTAGGAGTTATGGTTTAAGAATTATTGATAGTTTATAAAGCTAGTTATCGCAAATACGCGAGCATATATATTATCATAACAAATTATTTTTTGCCATTCGACATAGTCAGGGCCGGCTAGGTACCAAGGTTATATTTCATTGCGGAACATTGTCAGACAGGCAAACTAAGGAAAAGCGTTATGCTGAAAAACTGGTCTGAGAAGAATCTCTTGGCTTTAGTATCGTTGTGGGGGGCGAGTGGAAGGAACACGTTAGTTGATCTTTCTTTGATTACCTTGAAACTGTCACGACTAATTGTCCCACGACCCCGACGAACCTTGCTGAGCTTTTGTCCGTAATGTGACAAAGATCCTGAGAGCGAGACAACATGCTTTACAATAGGCAACCAATCCCGAAGACAAGGACACGATGTCCTGATCTGAAGACGTCTATCACATGATGGACGAAAGCACAACCAGGATTATTCGGGGTCGCAAATCGGAGAATTAGGAACTTCCTAGCTCACTCCAACTGTCTTTACTCAGCGGAAATCCTACTTCGGTTACTCTGAGTCCATTTTGCGAAGTCCTGCCAACCAACCTTTCATTGGAATTGGATAGAAATCGATGGGGAAAAGGGTGTCAGGATTTCGAATGCTGGTTTCACACATGTACGTACACGAGAGGTCAGTAACACGAACGTCGTGTTAAGGCCAAACGGCTGCAGTACAACGCGAATCAGCCGACGTCTTCTGTTGAAGTTGACCTAAAATTTTCTTCATCATATACTTTAATACGAAATGAAAGTTTTCATATCAAAAGTTGTATTTGTCATTACAATCGAATATATTACTTATTTTGAGTTTATTAGTAGGTTTCGAGATTACCGGTAGAGCACATCCTATCTCCGTTTAAGGCGAATAAGGATTGATAATTGAATTTTCCCACTAGCACAATCACCTTTAACGAAAATACGATGGATACGTCTCATATTTATGTTATACTGGTAGTCTCGCAACTTATCAATAAATGAAAGATATATTAGAAGTGGA